AGCCTGGACTTCCGGCAGTTCTCTGCTGATGTGCTGTTCTAATCGTTTTTGGATGATCTTCAGCAGAATCTTGCTTGCATGTGAAATCAATGACAAGTTCTGTAGTTTCCATATGCAATCCAATATGCTACCAGGTTTCCTACTTATCTTTTTGTTGTTGGTTTGTGCCGTTGAGTCAACTATACCTCATACCAACCCTATGAATCTTGTCCTGTCATGAGCCAACCTTACCATTTCTGACATGCCTCCCCATTTCCACAGTCACTCCATCTCATTCAGGGTCTTCCTGTCCTATGCTGACGCTCTACCTTTACAAACATGATGCCCTTCTATAAGGACTAGCTGCTGTTGGCAACATATCCAAAATATGTGAGATGGGGTTTCAGAATCCTTACTTCCAAGGAGCAATTTGGTTTCACCCTCTCCAGAACAGACCTGCTTGTTTTCATGGCAGTTCACGATATAGTCAGTACTCCTCCAGAACCACACTCACAGGCATCAGTTCTTTTTTTTTGTCATCGTTAGTCATTGTCCTGCTCTCCGATGCACAACAAACAATTGAGAAGACTTGCCTGGATCAGGTACACCTTAATCTCTAGACTGACGTTGTTACCCTTCAGTACTCTGGAGAGCTCCCTGACAACAGATTTTCCTAATGCAACTTGCCTTTTAATTTCCTGACTACTGGTGCCGAAAGTATTGATTGTGGATCTGAGCAAGATAACACTGTTAACAACTTCAATCTTTTCTCCATCTATCATGATACTGGCTATTGGCTGGTGGTGAGGATTTTTGTTTCCATGAAGATGAGATTCAGTCTATTCTGAAGGCTTCTCAGTCTTTGACCTTCTACAGCAAATCCTTCAAGTCTTCCTCAGTTTAGGCAGGCAAGGCTGTGCTATCTGCATAACACAGGTTGGTGATGAGTCTTCCTTCAATTCTTATGCAACATTCTTCAAAAGTCAAGCCTCCTGAGTAATCTGTTTAGCCTATTGATTGAAAAATGCTGGATGAAGAAAGGATACATCCTGGCCAGACACCTTTCTTGTTTTGAACCATTTAGGGTTCCCTTCCTCTGTTCATACAGCAGCTTCTTGGTCTAAATAGAGGTTTCACATGAACACAGTCAAGTGTTCTGGGATTACGTTCTTCTCAATATTAGCTGCAACTTGTGATCCACACAGTCAAATGCCTTTTGCGTAGTCAATAAAACAAAAATAGACATCCTTTTCTATTCTCTGCTTTCAGTCAGGGTTCATCTGACATCAGCAATAATACGCCCAGTGCCATGCCTAAGTACTGCTGGTATTTCTGGCAATTCTCCAGCTGTTTTTTGATAATCTTCAGCAAGACTTTGCTTGCATGTGATATTAGTGATGTTGTCTGATAATCTCCACATTCTGTTGGATCACATTTTTGGGGGGGATGGGAATAAATAAGAATCTCTTCCTGTCAGTAGACCAGGTAGCTGTCCTCTAGGTTTCTTAGCACAACCGTGATCGCAGGCCCTAGATGTGCATTGGACAGACAGACTGGAAGGCTGATGAGTGGCAGCACACAGATGCATACTGGGGAGCTCTGCTGGGAGGCCCAGAGTGCCATGTTTTCTGGGAAGAACTCAGATAACTGACAGGAGTGACTGGAAAATTATTAGGGATTAGTTAGAGGCCTCTCCTTTTAACCCCTCATGGAAAAAGGAGGAGACCAATTAAGTTTTTTTACTGGACAAATGTCTGCATGAGCTCCTAGTAGCTCAAATATGCTTGTCTATCATCTGCTCTTCTGGGTATGCTAGTCTGTCAGATGCTGTAGTAAAGCAGAGCTCCCAAATTAAGACAGGCTAAGAAGGATTAGGTATCCACTTTTGAAATAAAAGGCCTTCAAAAACCTTATGAACAATAGAATACATTTAGAATATTATATTTTAGCACTAGAGGCTGAGCTGTCACATTGGGAAACACAAAAATGAGGAGTTGCAAATAGCCATTAATAATTAGAACATGGAATATACAAAGTATGAATGTAGGAAAATAGAATATTGTTAAGAATTAAATAGAAGACAAATAATTGACATGGCATGGGTGAACTGAAGTAAATTGGCATGGACCACTTTAAATCAGACAATCATATGTTCTAATAGCCAGGAATGAATCTATTTCGGGAGGTAAAAATGATGGTCTTTGACACGAGATCCCTAACAAGACTGAATGCTCAGTTGGGAGGGTCGGGTTGGCACAGATGACCTGGTGCAAGGTCTAGTCTGTAAATTGCTGTGTGTGTGGTGTCATGACACAGCTGTATACTTCACCAAACTGTTGTTTTTTCATGATGTTGAAAAACCCACACATGGTCCTCTTGCGTTAGCTATAACATACTCTGGTAGCCCATAAAAATAATTTTATGTGGCAGTGAATGCCAGCCACACTCTTTGCAAAGTGAAATTTATTGCTGGTTATGGTTTTAGCAGGTAAAAGTACTTCACAGGCACGGCAATACCAGCAAAAGGCTTGCATAAAATAAAAGTGCTGAATGAGCTTCATACATTTTTCTTGAGGTGGTTCATCTTTTTCTGGTTGAAGTTGGAACAACAACCTTCCCAAACTGATCAGATGAGGAGGGTGAAATCTGCCATTAGGAGCTGCAAACTCTACTTCTATTTCCTCGTCTGACAGCTCACATGGCCCGGACTTCCTGGTGCTTGTTCATACATACACATTTTATTAAAAACAAAGGTCACTCATTTTGAAAAAAAACAATTACAATGAATTTTTTATACAATGAAATAAAAACCCATTAAATAGAATTTTCACATCATTCTTTAACTTTTATTAACATTAAAGTTATTTTAACTCTAAAAAATAAACTTGCTCTATTTGGTACCACTCTTTGGTATATGGCTACTCATTTTGACCCTGACAATATTCAAAATATGTTTCACTAGAACTCTTCTTTGAAAAATAAACATAAATAATATTAAAATGTAATATAAAAAGTCCACATCAAGATTTCCTAGAAGGATTTATCTCCATCCCCTTAAAATACACAGCTCATAAGTGGGTTGAGAGAGATTGGGGGAAAGAAACTCAGTCCGTATCTGCCTGTAAACTACTCTGAGAGAAATGCACTGCATTTCTCAGCCCACTGAGCAGTGGGAGGGAGGAAATCAGTTGAGCAAGCTGGGCTTGGACAGGGTGAAGATAGGGGGCAGAGAGGCTGCCCTGCTCATGCTGGTGTGTTTTGTCTTGGTCTCCTGGACATACCTTTCCTGTGTAGCTTCCTTTGATATGGAGAGTCCTGGGCACTGGCTGCTTAGCTCTTCTGGCAGGTTGTCATCCTTGGAAAGCATCTTCATGGGCAGTGTGCTTGTGGGCACCTGACTGCACTCCTCACCCACTTTCATCTTGCCTGCAGGAACTGAGATCTGGGAGATGCCATTCTGGGATGGAGCTTTGATGTAACTTCTGCTCTTCTGTTCCCTTGGGATCTGTCCCTGAGCAATGATGTCTTTGGGAATGTTGCCTTTCTTGGGGGACTGCTTAGCCAGCTGACGTCCCAGATGGAGTTGAGTAGGGAACAGAGTCCCTTGGAGGGCTTTGAAAAACAATCTGGAAAAAACACATAGAAGGAATCAGATATTTGTGGGTGGGGCCTTTGTGTCTCCAAGAGTCACAATAGGTACAGACATGAAAGCTCTTTGAGTATACTAAGGACTTGGGAGAGATTTTCTTTGATACCCACCTGGGCAACAGTGCAGCCACGGGTGCTGCAACACAAGTCAAGTAAAACATGGGGTCTCTCATTAAATTTTGCATAGTCCAGTATGGGTTAGATGGAGGATAGCATGTTGCACAGGAAGCATTATAAATCAGGGCCACAGTAAAGAATAAAAAGATACTGAAGCCACAAGCTATCCAGTTGATCCAGGTCTGAGGGGGAAAGAAAGAAAAGGTCTTTTATTTAAACCTGAAAATAACAGAAGCATGACAAGAAAAATGCATATGAATAATAATGACTTGGGTTTGGCATTCTAATGCTAGTTAGGATATCAGTCTCCGGTACTGAGGATGGGTATGGACTAGATGAAGCCTAGGGAATGTATGGTACATAGGAAACCTGGTACATAGTTTGGAAAAAGGAAGTGAGAGTATGATAGATAGAGGGAAAGAAAATAGGGCAAAGGAAAGGAGGTAGGTAATGTCTGGAGTCCTTTGATGACACAATGTGTAATGCCCTCAGCTGCTAACCAGATTGGAGATTTGAGTCAATTTAAGGGAGCTCTGGTGGCCAAGTGGTAAGAGTCTGCACTGCAATCGTGAAGGCACATGGTTCAAAACTCACCAGCTGCTCTGCAGGAAAAGAATGGGCAATTTCTTGTGCGTTAAGTACCTCTGAGACCCCCTAAAGGGTGGGGTGGGTTCTGACTTGATGGCACACAATAACATCAGCAAGATTTATGCTTAAAGAAAGGTTTAATGATTTGCTTTTCTGAAAAAATATCCTTAAAATTCTATGGAGCACTGTTCCTTCCTGACACAGAAGATCACCATGTGTCTGAGTTGACGGCAAGACAGTGGTTTTTATAGTGAGAACAGAATGTGGGTAACTTCCACATGGAACACATACGTTGTTTTCCTGACTGCCTTGCCAGAAGCTCCCTTTTCCCTCCTATTACAGGAAGGTTGCCATTGCAGTCTCTTTTCTCAAAACCTCTTAGATTTTTTTCATGGAGTCTGCATGGGAAAGTAGACCAGCAGCCTCCATGCATTCCTAAAATAAGCCCACACTTAAATTCTTACCCAAGTTTTGGTTTCGATGCTCAGGTGCAGCAGGAAGGTGAACAGTGCAATGGCTGTGATGGGGGTGCCCCAGGAAAACAAGTCTATGTCCGAGTTGTAGTAGGCCTGAAAAACAACGGTGTCCTGCATCTTTATTCCCTGATACAGCAGATAAGATAATTATTCAGGTAAAAACTTACCAGGTAAGGAATGAAAAAACACATGAGGCTCTGAAAGGCAGCGTCAGCCATGTTAATCCAAAATGTGCGTGGCTGATATTCCTGAGATACAAAATAAGAAAAGAAGTTACAGGGAAGTTTGCATCTATTCCCATGACATTGCCCAATAAAGTTATAGTCATTAAGGTACAATGTATACATCTACAGAAAATATGATGCTTCTTTGCTTTTTAAGAGGCAAGAACCCAAAGGCCTATGGAGGAAAAAAGAATTCAACAAATACTTGCAGAACCAGTTAGTGACAGAGTAACTCATTAGAGAATTTGTTAACAAGACTAATTAGAGTAGACCTGCGCTAATAATAAAAAGATTAAACCACCTTCTAGATCTCATGAGGTATCATTTCCCTAGAGTAGGAACATCACTTGAAATTTGGGATATTTTTATTCTTCTCTCAAGTTGAACCTTTACAATTCATGGGGGGAAATGGATAATGAGAAATAAAAAAAGAATTTATGTGTCTGAATTATAGTATTGGTAAGAAATGTAGAATACAATGCTAGAATAATTAACAACTAAGTCTTAGGGGAAAAAATGCTCCTTAGGAGTGAAAATGGAAATTTCAACTTGGTTAGTTTAGACATCTTTTAAAAAGACCAATAACTAGAAAATTACATAGTATTTGGAACTTACTCATAGCTGAACCTTCAGTGGGTTTTCAGATGCTGTAAATGACCTGGGAGAAGATTGCCCATTTTTTTTTCCAAGAAGCCACAAGTGGATTTGAGGTGCATCTTTTGGGTTAGTAGCACAACTCCCTGTGAGAATCTTCATGAAATGGATTGACAACTAGCCAAAACAATGGACTCAATTATGGAAATGACATAGGACTAGGCTGCATTCATTCTGTTGAATGTAAGGTTGCGATGAGTTAGCTAACTCAAGAGCAATGAAAAAGAAATATAACTTTGACACATTTTATACCAACTTGTAAGTAGGCTCTGTTGTTATTTTGTCACAGTGAGTCACCTGTGACCAAAGTGAGCTTATGTACAGTAACTCTGAACCTTGCTCAGTCATGAGCCAGTCTCACTCATCCCAACATACCAATCAATCCTCATTGTCCCAGTGACTGTATCAATCCATTTCATCTGGGGTCTTTCTCTCCTGTGCTGTCCCTCCACCCTTCCAAGCATGATGTCCTTCTTCAAGGACTGGTCTCTCCTGGCCACAAAGTATGTGAGATGGAGTTTCAAAATCCTAACCTCCAAGAAGAAACTTGGTTTCCCTCTCTCCAAGAGAAACCTGTTTTGTTTTCTTGGTATGTTCAAGATTCTTCTGCAGCACCATGATTCAAAGACATCGATTCTTCTGTCATCCTTAGCCATGTTCAACTTTTTGAAGCATAACAATTAATTGTGAAGACCATGGCTTGGATTATGTGCACCTTAGTCTCTAGACAGACATTGTTGCTTTTCAGCAATCTAGAGAGGTCCCCGACAGCAGATTTTCCCAATGCAATTCATTTTTTTATTTCCTGGCTCCTGGTGTTAAGAGTGTTGATTGTGAATCCAAGCAAGCTGTAATTGTTAAAAACTTCAATTTTTTCTCTATTTATCATGGTGCTGCCAGTTGGTCCAGTGGTGAGAATCTTTGTCTTCTTGATGTTGAGCTTCAATCCGTATTGAAGATTACAGTCAGCCTCTGCAGCAAGTGCCTCAGGTCTTCTTCAGTTTCAGCAATGAAGGTTCTGTCATCTGCATAACGAAGGTTGTTGATTAGCCTTCCTCCAGTGCTCATGCCACATTCCTCCTCAAAATCCTTGCTTTCTGAATGATCTGTTCTGCATATAGATGGAAAAGGTTTGGCGACAGGATGCATCCCTGGTGCACTCCTTTCCTGATTTTGAATCATACAGGGTTTCCCTGCTCTGTGTGTAGAATGTTCTGAAAGGGGTCTTCATGTCTTAAATTAGATCATGGATATATCCTAGTGTTAAAATTTTTTTCTAATATTTATAAATATTTGTTATAAAAAAAATAGTGTTAAAATAAAAGTGAATTAAATGTCAGTCATTTAACTGTAAGGTCAATGGATTGAATCTACAAGTTGCCCTGAGGGAGAACTATAGGGCAGTCTTGTTCAATAATTTATATCCTTGAAAACGCCAAAGGGCAGTTTTCCTCAGTGTTATAATGCCACTATGAGTCAGAGTCAACTCCACATTAGTGGGGTTTTTGTTGTTTGTTTTATATCCTATGGACAAACTGATTTTGATATGCATTAATAGAGGTTTCATTGTCTGAAAGACAAATGTATATTCATGAAATTAAGGTGTTCTTAAGAACTATCTAAGCTCCCATACAATTGGCAGTCCTTGACTTGGAGGGAAAGAGAATGGAACATGACAGGTATTTCTTAACTTGGCTGGTACTTCACTTTGCTTACCTAAAGTGCTATAGAGGTGACTTAGCTTGTATGCTCAGTAGGCTGGCCTGGTTAACTAAGTGACCCTTTCCTGTGGAAAGAAAATCCATGGGCTACTTCCTGTGACTGGCCAACCGTTCTCCCATCTCATGCTGTCTACATCTGTGAGAACTCTATGGATGGAGACAGTGATGGGAAGTCAACCCATGAGTAACTGTATTCCCGATTAGAGCTTGCAGAAACAGAAAGGGGCTTCATGCTCTCCATACACACACATCATGGTCACAGGGTTTACTTTAAAGCATGGAAGTCTTACTTTAGTGACAGACTGAGAATGGTTGGTACTTAACATGTTAATCTATTCTATTCTGTGTAAAGATAGAATAGATTAGACATAATAGTACAGTAGATCTCTATGTAAGGAGCTCTGGTGGCTTAGTGGTAAGAAGCTATACTTGCAAGGTCACTAAGGATCCCTATCCCAAAGGCTGTTGGTTTGAATCCACCAGGTGTTCCACAGGAGAAGGATGGGCAGTCTCCTCCTCTGTGACCCACTGGAGGATCAGTTATGAGTTGGTTCCCACTTGATAGCACACATTATTCTGTGAAAACATATATTTACATCTGTTTGTTCACATCTTTGATTTGTTTCTTTACAGATTTGACTTGTTGATAATTTTCATTCAAACTGTGTTGCTTGTGTTAATAGTTTTGGCAAAGTCCCTTATCTGGCAACAACATCCCATGCGACCCTGACTGAGACTCCATGTGGCTCCCTTGGCTTTCTCTGGCTTCTGGGCTGGTTTCCTATTGTGATGATGAGAAGCCTCTGTGATGATGATTTTCTTTTGAGCGCCCTCAATGGACTAGGAGTGCAGCAGGCAGGATTTATCCTGTAAAGTCAGGTCCTAAAATGATCACCATTCACATGGAAATGTACAAGGAGCACCTACCTCTCGATTCTGGCCACTGCGGTAGAGTTGTGGCTGGGCCAGTAGCACTTTAGCTGGCACATCTTTGTCCAGTACCCCAGTTACAAGCTGGGGGAGTGAGGAAAAGAGCAGATTAAAGAAGATGAGATACCACTGGTCGATCATCGTAGAGGCAGAGAAGCCACAAAAAAACTGGAACCAAAATAGAAGGCCCACAAACATCTGGAATAAAGAAAGAAACAGGGGCTTACATTAAAAAAGAGAACTGAAATTAATTTTTTTTTTTAGTTAGCCTCCAGTTCTAATTGAAGAAGCTTAAATGACTTGCATAGAATTGCTATGAGTTGGAGCTGATTCAATGGAACATATCAACATATCAACAATATCATATCAACATATCAACAATAACAAGAGTCCACAGAGTGGAGCAAGAGTGCCATAGAAAGAGGAATATTTTTGTTTGTATTTTACTTATTTTATCTTATGGTCATTTTTTGTTGTTGAACTAGATTTTTAATTTTTTTTAAAAACTTTTTTTAAAAACTGTGATTTTAAACAAAAGTTTATGGAAAAGTTGTGGTTTCATTCATTCATTGGTGCACATTTTCCTTCCTGTCCCTCTCTCCTCCTCTACCAGTTCACTCTGTAATGTACTTGTCCCAGATTGTTAATTATAATGTCTAATCATACTTTTCTTTCAGATAGTCCTTTATCTTATATGTTATAGTGCAGTGTTCATTATCTATCCACTCTTCTGTTTTCTCCCATCCTGCCTCATGTTAATCCTATTTTAAAATGGTCATGTTATGCACTATCTGTCCTTTTGTGACTGAGATATTTCACTCATCATAATGTCTTCTAGGCTAAGATAGAAAAATTGGCACATTCACAATGAATTATTATTATGCAGCATTGATAAACAATGAACTTATGAAACATTATACAAAACAACATGAGCCAGATTATTTAAATGTAATTTTTGATGAGTATATATACACATTAACTCCACAATAAGGGATTTATCTTTAACTGCTCCACAAATTGCAGTCTGTCAGATACTCCTCTAAACCTGAACATTCAGATTAAGACAGACTAGGAAGAAGGATTGGCCACCCACTTCTGAAATAGCAGGCCTCTGAAAACCCTATGCACA